TCGGGCCACTTTAACAGCTGGCCTTTTTCCCCTTTAAAACAGGACACTACATGATGACCTGGAGGCTACAAAGGGCCGCTGAAACAAATGCACCCTGAGACACTGGAGAGACCAGGTTGAGTTTCATTCCTTGTGTCCTTCTACATCTTGGCCCAGAGGCAGAAGCTGAAACTGGATCATGGCTTCTTGGGGCTTTAAGTTCTGATTTACAGTTGAAATTAGGTAGGGCCCTGTGACAACTCTGAAAATCCAAAAGGGGGCAGTATAGTGTTATGGTTAAAAGCTTGGGCTTTGACTAGATGCCAAGGTTTGAACTGACTTTGCCACTTATTAGCCCTGTGACCTTGGTCTCACTCTCCTACTCTGTAGATCAAGGGCATACCATCTTTACAGAGTTGAGAGGATTAAATGAAATGTTATATGGCAGACATGTAACAAGTGCTCATAAACAGCAGAATTTTACATCTGTCTGCAGGGTGTACTGTTGACTATGCTAGTCAGATATGACATGGGGTTACCAAGTAAAAGAGATAAGACCAAATTAATTCAATTCATTCATGCATGCATTCAATATATATGTAGTGAATTACTATTATGTAAAAGGCACCTTATGAGGCACAGGATATCTAAGGAGAAATAAAGACAAATATGGTCTTTGATTTCAGAAACAGCCTTCAGAGGGATCCAGGCAAATAGAATAACTACACATAGACAATTATAAATAGAAAAGGTACAACAAGAAGAGGGCTGCAACAAGTCTAGGGATTGGGGAAGCCCTCTGTGATGAAATTAGAGCTGAGCTAAGAAATGAGGGCTGAGTGAGAGTCAACCAAAAAGGTTGGAAGTGCAGAAAAAGTACTCTGTGCAACAAGAACTTTATGTGCAAAAGCCCTGAAAAAGGGAGTCTGGAACATTAGACAAGGAAAAGCCAGTGAGGCCATGTAGTGATGGGGAGGAGAGTTAATGGGGTGTAAGATAAGCTGAAGGCAGGAGCCAGACCACATAGGCTTTACAGGTCATTCTAAGGAGTTCAGTCTTTCTTGTAAGTGGAAGCTGTTGAGGTGTAAGGGCCTATACCAGGTATCCCTGCAACGTGGCAACACTTTTCTCTAATTATCTCCTTCATGCAAATGAAAGGATGAGGGCCTCATACAATTCCTGCTGTGGTCATCTAGTAGAGGGATGCAAAGAAATAATCTGCAACAGGTTCCTTCCCAAAACAGAATGAGGCCCTTGGTATTCTCATTGCCTAGACATAAAGGAAGAATGTGGGTGGGGCATCCAAGACTGTGAGGCTCTCATCAGAAATCCTATACTGGGTGATCAGTTGTTACTACAGAACCCCTAATGTTTTCTGGCTGCTGCATAGCCAGTCCTTAGCTGGTCTTTACCTCTTAGACTTCCTGCTCCATCAGATGCTCCATTGCTTTGGACATAATGACAATGAGACTAACAACTCTTAGGTTGGGTGGTACAGGTGCCCAGCTCCTGTGAGCAAAGAAGAGTCTAAGGTGGGTGCAGGTTTGCCAGAGGCAGCTCTCAACTTCTGTGTACTTCCTGGTTAGCTCGCTCACAGTGATCATGGCACATGCACTATATTTGTGTGGGGCACATGTATGCCATCTCTACAGGCTCTCCTCTGTGAGGAGAAAGACTAGGTGTGGAAATACTTGGTCAGTACAGAAATGCCACAGTACCAGAGGTGGTAACTATGTTCCAGCCCTCATAGGGATTTTTTTCTTTTTTAAAAAATTTATTTATTGTATTTGTTTGGAAGGCAGAGTGGCAGGGCAGGGGAGATCTTCCATCTACAGGCTCACTCCCTAAATGGCCACAATAGCCAGGTCTGGGCCAGGCCAAAGTCAGGATCCAGGAACTGCATCCTGGTATCCTACATGGGTGGCAGGGGCCCATGCACTCAGCTATCTTCTGCTGCCTTCCCAGATGCACTACCAGGAAGCTGGACTGGAAGCAGAGTAGCTGGGACTCAAACCCACACTCCAATATGAGATCTTCGTGTCACAAGATGTGACTTAACCTCCCTCATAGTTTTTTTTTTTTTTTTTTTTAATTTGGCTAAAAATAGAAAAGGACCCAAGAATGCTAGAGCTATGCATTCTATCCTTCCCCCAAGCCCTCTAGCCTGTAGCCCAGCTAAACAGGAAACCAGACTTGGATCGCTGCCAGGGTCCTGGCTGGGGCAGGAAGCTCAGGAAACAAGCGAGAATGACCCTCCTCAGCATGGAAGAAGGCTGGCAGAAATCCCTGGGAAGGCAAAATAAACACAGCCCCTGCTGAACTCTCTCCCAGAGGAGGAAAAGACTAGAGCTACTTCCATGCCTCAGGATGGGTCAAGACCTAGGACCTTCGTGGGGAGAGATAATGTTGTCTCACTGAGAAGAGAATCTGAGTAAGGACCTCGCCCTCAGAGATACACAGGTCCTCGGTGAAGCATGGAAGGATACCCGTGGTTTGAAGACACCCTAGGGCCATCTTGGATTGATGAGGAAATGATGGTACAGGATAAGGGCAGTGGTGGGAAAAGTAGACCTAAAGAAGAGAGGGCCAGGAATCAGGTTATATCTGTGGGGAATGAAGGCAGAGAGTTAATAGGGCTTCTTTGCTGTACAAATGCGAAGGAAATTCATGATGAAATAATCAACTGAGGCAATGAACATTAAGGGCTGAAGAGGAGGAATTTTTGTAATAAAGAGATGAAGCTAATTATACCACGGACCAATCAATCTGATCATCATAAAAGTAGAACAAACACATCATGTGCCTCCTGATTAAACATATATCATACCTCAGAAGTACACACACATCTCCGAAGTATTCTTCACAAAAAGTTGAATTGATTCTAATCAAACTTTGGGTTAAACTACTAATTTGCATAAATACAAAAGATACAGAAGAATAGGATAAAAAAAAAAACCCACACAGGATGCAATCAACAAAATCCAAAGGCTGGTGTTGTGGTTTGTGAGCTAGGTAGCCCCCTGTGACACTGGCATCCCATATCAGAGTGCCAGTTTGAGTCCAGCTGCTTCGCTTCTAATCCAGCTGTCTGCTAATGTGTCCAGAAAGGCAGTGGATGATGGCCCATATCCTTGGGCCCTTGTAACCCATGGTAGAGACCTAGATGGAGTTCCAGGCTCCTGGCTTGGGCTTGGCCCAGCCCTGGTTGTTGTGGCCATTTAAGGAGTGAACCAGCAAATGGAAGATCTCTTTCTCTCTCTCTTTTACTGTACACTCTGCCTTTCAAAAAAAATTAAAAAACAAAACAACAAAAACAGAATGTGGGATGCTCTACACACACACACACACACTCACACACATACACATACAAATACATTGTAAGAAAAGAAGAAGTGGTAGGAGGGACTACCTATGAAAAGACACATGCCAACCAAATGCACTATGTAGGTCAGACTGAAACAAACCAACTACAATTTTTAGAATGTTATGGAATTATTGTTTTTAGCTATGATAATGGTATTGAGGTTATCTTAAAAATAATCTATTTTCGGGAACCACATCATAATATTTTAGATGAAATACATGAGCCTTATGTTAGGATTGTTTGAAGTTGGGTGATGAGTACCAGGGGATTCATTTTGAAGTTTTCTGTACTTTGTATATGTTCGAAATTTTCCATGACAAGATATTTTAAAAATATGAAGTCAGCGGGGCCGGTGCCATGGCTCACTTGGTTGATCTTCCACCTGGGGCGCCGGCATCCCATACGGGCACCAGGTTCCGGTCCCGGTTGCTCCTCTTCCAGTCCAGCTCTCTGCTGTGGCCCAGAAGGGCAGTGGAGGATGGCCCAGGTGCTTGGGCCCTGCACCCGCATGGGAGACCAGGAGGAAGGACCTGGCTCCTAGCTTTGGATCGGCACAGCACCAGCCGTGGCGGCCATTTAGGAAGTAAATCAATGGAAGGAAGACCTTTCTCTCTGTCTCTCTTTCTCACTGTCTAACCCTACCTGTCAAATTAAAAAAAAATATGAAGTCAGCAAAATAGAACTGCCTCTTTTCCCAGCCAACTGATATGGGTGGGGGGAGTAATAACAATATAGACCTTTCTAAATGTTTCTTGAGCCCTGAGAGTTGACCTTTGGGAACTGAAACAGCAGCAGGACATCCTCCAGCGTCATCAACAGGGGACTCTTCAGGAAGGTCCCACTCTACCAATGGGACTCTGACAGCCATGGCTCGAAGGGGCAGGGTGTCAGCAGCCCTCTTCAGCTCCTCTAGCCCAGGCCTACTCAATGGGAAGTCCTTCTGGGGATCAATGGGAGCATAGGGCTTTTCTGTTTCTAGCTAAGCTTCACCCCAACCCTGTCAAGGAGGCCAAGAACTCTTTTAATTTGGTGGAGAGAGTAAACCATTTCCTCACGTTCTTACACAAAAGTTCCCTTGGGAACCACTGATAGAAAAAGGAAATCACCAACCCCTTTGTCATTATCAACCTTTAGACCAGAAATGATATAGTAATTTAAGATCATTTTCACACACATGATCTTATTTATCTTACATATAGCCAGAAAGAGGTTAGGAGGCTAGCCAAAGGTCATGGCAAACACAGTAGTTAGAGGTACTCAGAGCTGATTTCCTACCAGCACTATGCAGATAGCTCCTGCCATAAGGCCTGTGCCTTTCACCAGCTCATCCTGATCTTTCCACCACAAAGACACTCAAACTAATTCTTCTTGTGGGAGTTTCCTGAGACCATCTCTCTGCTGTATCTCAACCCCTGAAAATGGAGGATGTGAAACATGAGGTTCTATCCAGAAGTTGACAGGGAGGCTGACAGATGGTCAAATCTTGGCTCCTGACTGGTTTCCTTTGGTGTCAGTGTTTGCTACTCTCCAACTTGAGCTCCCTTCCTGACTTCATATAATTCTCCCTCCACTTCCCCAAATCACTAGCCACCACCACTTGCCCACATCATTATCCTCACTTGGCCTTTTTCTTAGTCTGTGATCTCCTCTAAACCAGGGCTGGAAGCAGCAGAGCAACTGAGGGCAGAGTGGACTTTCTGAAAGCTACCAGTCCTCAGGGAACAGCTTCAGGATTCACAGGAGTCCCGGTGGAGGGCTGTCTCATCGGCTGCTGCAATCTGCATTTCATTGTGGCTACTGGCTTTCCCGCCAGAGGCAGGCCTGCTCTCAGACAGAATGGCCTACAGCATCTGGTTTTTATGGTAAGTAGAATGTGAATTCCACACACCTGATACAACAAGAATAGGACATCCAGACTGGCACTCTTTCCTTCCTCCCACATAGTTTTTCTGTCTCCAGGACGATGCGTGCAAGTCATATAATGTTAGGAGACTCAGGTAGGAGCTTTTCATCAGCAGAGCTAAGTTTTTTGCTCATTAAATATTAAACATCACAACTCTATTAATAACTTCTCCAGCTCTACAACAAAGCTGGTGGCACAGTTATCAAAGTAGAGGGACTGTATCGGCCCTCAGTACTGAAAACCTTCTTAATGCTTCTAATGAAGTAGATGGCGAAAGGTCAAACTATGAGGGAGTCAGACTACCAACTCAGCTGGGAGTCCCTGCAAACCTGGGGAGCAAGAAGCAAGCCATTCTTTATCAGATCATTCAAGGACCTTCTCACTCTGTGGTCTGAGCGCAAGCATAAATTGCAGGTAGGGTTCCTACCTGGCATCTTTAATTGAATATGAAAGAATTTATTACTCTCTCTCATGCTATCTCATTCTTGTCTTTTCTATCATTTATTACAATGTTTAATTGAAATTTCATTTGTGTGTTTTATTTGGTTAATACCTATCTCTCCCACTGGACTGCCAGCTTATAAAGGCAAGGAGCATGTTTTTCTTATTCATCCTTGTATTCTCTGTGTCTAATATAGTGTCTTGCAAATAGCAAATGCTCGAAAGATATCTATGAATAATGATGTCCAATACTTGTATTCCACCTGCATCTCCCACAACTCCTCAATACGTTCCTGCTACTCTACCACTAGCTCCATCTACTCATCCTGCTCTGGGTCTTTACTTTTCTCCTCTCTTTAGAATCACCTGCTCTCTATTCTTACTCATCCTTAAAGGAGCCAGCCATATTCTGTAATAGTTCTGTTTTAAAAGGGCAAGTCTTTTCTTTGCCAGAATGAAAGCTCTGGAGGCAGAAGCTATCTGCCAAGGAGATCAAAGGGGAGCTGGGTGACAAGACTCACAACACAACACATTAAAATGGATACTCTATTTCACAACAGTATATGTATCAGGTTATAAGCTAGAAGCTATAGAGTTTTTGGAATTGGTTGAGAATTCAGGGAAGCCTTCTTGAAGAAGGGGAGTTTATATTGATCTCTGAAAAACAGTTAAGAATAGAATAATCAGAGAAGGAGATGGGAGCGAATTTTTTTTTTAAAGATTTATTTTATTTATTTGAAAGAGTTACAGAGAGAGGTAGAGACAGAGAGAGAGAGGTCTTTCATTCGCCTGTTCACTCCCTAGATGGCTGCAATGGCCAGAGCTGCGTCGATCTGAAGCCAGGAACCAGGAGCCTCTTCTGGGTCTCCCACGTGGGTGCAGGGACCCAAGGACTTGGGCCATCTTCCACTGCTTTCCCAGGCCATAACAGAGAGCTGGATTGGAAGAGGAGCAGCTGGACTAGAACCGGCGCCCATATGGGATGCCAGCACTTCAGGCCAGGGTGTTCACTTGCTGCACCACAGCATCGGCTCCATGGAGAGAATTCTTAAGAGAGGAAGCTTCAAACTACTAAAAGATGAGAGGAGGTGAAGGATTGGCTAACCTACTAGAAAGAAAGTTGGCATGAATAGTATCAAGTATGATCAGCTTTTAGGGGCAAAAGCCTACTATAGATGCCTCAAAATCCACTGGAGAGGTTTAAGCTCAATGTAGAGCTTATTTAGGTCTCAGGATGTGAAGGAAATATCATGGACCTAGGAGTAAGGGATCCTTGGGTTCCCGTCTAGGCCATGACAACCTCCAGCTGAGTAATGAAAAAGTCTACCTTTCTGGGATTCTGCTTGTTTATCTATAAAATGGGAAGAAGTGACTTTTCCTAATCCACTTTGCAAGGTGGTTCAGATGCTTTGGAAACAGCTTTCCATATAATATACATTAAAAAGAAATTTAAGTAAGGATAAGACAACTGCACCAGTAAATTTTACACAAAGGCAACATATTTGGGCCACAGGACAGGAAAATAGAGAGTTCATGTCTCACTGAAGGAAAGAAAAGTATGCATGAAGAAGATGGCATTTTTGTGATAGCCCTGGAAATAAATACTGGGAAGATTCAAGTACATATTAACAGAAAACTAGGAAAGCGCTGTTCATACTAATTTCCACAGAGGAATTTTTTGAACATGTTTATCTTACACTACTTTGGAAAAAGTATGGCATTTTGCCAACAGCAATGTGTCTTCCAGGGTCGCTGGCCTCTGGCCCAGTTTGAGCATGCTACCTTGGGGCTGGCATTGTGGTGCAGTGGGATAAAGCCCCAGCTGGCAGTACTGCCATCCAAAATGGGTGCAGGTTCGCGTCTTTGCTGCTCCAACTTCCAATACAGTTCCCTGCTAATGTGCCTAGGAAAGCAGTAGAAGATGGCCCAAGTACTTAAGCTCCTGCCACACACATGGGAGACCCAAAAGAAGCTCCTGACTCCTGGCTTCAGATAAGCCAAGCTCCAGCCTTGAGGCCATTTGGGGAGTGAACCATGGATGGAAGACCTCTCACTCTATCTCTACCTCTCTCTGTAACTCTGCCTTTCAAATAAATAAAAATACATCTTAAAAGGAAAAAAAAAAAAAAAAAGAATGCTACCATAGGGAACAGGAGGTAGTAGTGTGGTGTACATACTCCCACCCACTGGCCTTGGTTCCTCCCTGTGGAGCCACAGGCAACACAAAGTCTAACCTCATTTCCTTTCCTAACCCAGTCCTTTAGGCGTTAGAACTGTAAAATCCTTTCTCTGAGACTGTTTATTCACTGGCTGAAAGCCTCAGTTCTTCCAACTTTTCTCACATGATAACAATTTGACTCCTTTCTTTATTCCAGTCACTCCCTCTTGAATGATGATATTAACACGGAAAGCAGGACTTCAGATGGTGCTGACCAACACAGAATAGGGCACAGTAGAGTTATTACCTCCTAGGACCTGAACTCCATACTTTTACGAATGCAACCCAACAGCACAGTAGATTTTCTGGTGACTATTGTTATATAGTGTGCTTATATTAAGTTTCTTGTCCACTCAAACATAGCCCTCTTTGAAGGTCTATTCTAGCCTACCCAGTCTCAACCTAACCTAGATTACTGTTTAAATTCCTCTTTGCTGAATTCAGCCAGCTACTCTTCCATTTTAAAGTGTATTTATTTATTATGTATTTGAAAGGTAGAACAACAGAGAGAGACAGAGACAGAGACAGAGATCTTCAATTACTGGCTCCTTTCCCAAATGCCTACAACAGCTGGGGCTGGGTCAGGTCGAAGCCAGAAACCTGGAACTCAATCCAGATCTCCCATATGGGTGGCAGGGACCCACGTACTTGAGCCACCATCTGCAACGTCTCAGGGTGCACATTAGCAGGAAGCAGAATCAGAAGCAGAGTGGAACTTGACCCAGACACTTAGACATGGGATTGCAGGTATCCCAAGTGGCAGGTTAACCAAATGCACCACCTCCCCCACCCAGCTCCTTTTCTGAGACTATGAGTTACATCACCAGTTTCTAGTAAGCATGGAACCACCATCTCACTAGCCCCAGTGGACCTTTATATATATTGGCCATCAGCCCAGATCAACTTGTGATTTCAGTTTCTTGCCTTGATTTCATATTTTTTTTTTTTTTTTGACAGGCAGAGTGGACAGTGAGAGAGAGAGACAGAGAAAAAGGTCTTCCTTTTGCCGTTGGTTCACCCTCCAATGGCCGCCGCGGCCGGCGCGCTGCGGCCGGCGCACTGCGCTGATCCGATGGCAGGAGCCAGGAGCCAGGTGCTTTTCCTGGTCTCCCATGGGGTGCAGGGCCCAAGCACCTGGGCCATCCTCCACTGCACTCCCTGGCCACAGCAGAGAGCTGGCCTGGAAGAGGGGCAACCGGGACAGAATCCGGCGCCCCGACCGGGACTAGAACCCGGTGTGCCGGCGCCGCTAGGCGGAGGATTAGCCTAGTGAGCCGCGGCGCCGGCCATTGATTTCATATTGCTAAGGCAAAGGACTACCCTATTTCATATAAATCCTGAACTCAATATAATAATAGGTGCAGCTATTAAATATGATCATGAAATCTCAACTGACAATAACAAGTATATAAGATGACTATTATGGGTGGTACAGCCCCACACTAACCTGTACTGGTGACGTTCCATGGAGAAGTCTGATAAACTTGAAAGTATCCATTAGCACTGCTAGGGATTTGAAAACCAGTCTTCAAGGAAATGGTAAAAGGAAAACAACAGCATCAATTTAGCCTGGGGTTGGGGAGTATTTAGGCTGTATCTCTAGTAACTGCTGGTTTCTCATAGTAACTGCCTTTTCTCATAGCTTACTCCTTCTTGCTGCTTTGGTCAAGGGCTTATAATTCCATTTATTTTATTTTATTTATTTGAGTGGTAGTGCTATAGACGGTGAGAAGGAGAGACAAAGAGAAAGGTCTTCCAGCCGGTGCCGTGGTTCAATAGGCTAATCCTCCACCTTGCGGCGCCAGCACACCGTGTTCTAGTCCCGGTCGGGGCGCCGGATTCTGTCCCGGTTGCCCCTCTTCCAGGCCAGCTCTCTACTATAGCCAGGGAGTGCAGTGGAGGATGGCCCAAGTACTTGGGCCCTGCACCCACATGGAGACCAGGAGAAACACCTGGATCCTGCCTTCGGATCAGTGCGATGCGCAGGCCGCAGCGCACTGGCCGCTGCAGCCATTGGAGGGTGAACCAACAGCAAAAGGAAGACCTTTCTCTCTATCTCTCTCTCTCACTGTCTACTCTGCCTGTCGGGGAAAAAAAAAAAAAAAAAGAGAAAGGTCTTCCATCCTTCCATCCACTGGTTCACTTCCCAGATGGCTGCAATGGCCAGAGCTGAGCCAATTCAAAGCCAGGAGCCAGGAGCCAGGAGATTCCTCCGGGTCTCCCACATGGGTTCAGGGGCCCACGTGCTTGGGCCATCTTCTACTGCTTTCCCAGGCCATAGCAGAGAGCTGGATTGGAAGAGGAGCAACTGGGACTAGAACTGATGCCCTTATGGGATACTGGCACCACAGGCAAAGGATAACCTACTGTGCCACAGCACCAACCCCCTTATAATTTCATTTTAAGCATGGCCAACTTCCCTCAAGATATTCATGAGACCTCTTCCTGAATCTGCCTCTTCTCTCTCATCTACTCAGCAGAATCAAGATTACCCTCTCTCACCTGCCTTTTTCCAAATGACAATTAACTTTATATTAATTAGTTATGCAAAAATGAATACTAAAGACCAGGTTATGAAAGATCAATTTTCTCCCTAATTTCTAAATTTTTTTTTAAATTATTTATTTACTTTAGATGTAGCGTTACAGAGAGAGGGAGAGACAGAGAAAGATCTTCCATCCTCAACTGCTGGAGCTGGGCTGATCCAAAACCAGGAGCTTCTTCCAGGTCTCCCATGCGAGTGCAGGGGCCCAAGCACTTGGGCCATCTTCTACTGCTTTCCCAGGCCATAGCAGAGAGCTGGCTCAGAAGAGGAGCAGCCAGGACAGAACTGCTGCCCATATGGGATGCCAGTGCCGCAGGCAGAGGCTTAGCCTATTGCACCACAGCAGTGGCTCCTCTCATTCATTTCTTTTATATAAATATAAATATATATGTATTATATATATAATATATTTAAGATTTATTTTATTTATTTAAAAGAGTTACAGAGAGAGGTAGAGACAGAGAGAGAGGTCTTCCACCCACTGGTTCACTCCCCAGATGGCTGCTGCACCCTTCCAAAGCCAGGAGCCAGGAGCTTCCTCCGGGTCTCCCATGCAGGTGTAGGGGCCCAAAGACCTGGGCCATCCTCTACTGCTATCCCAGGCCATGGCAGAGAGCTGGATCAGAAGAGGAGTAGCCGGGACTAGAACTGGCACCCACATAGGATGCCAGTGCCTCAGGCCAGGGCTTTAACCCACTGCACCACAGCACTGGCCCCTTCTCTCATTCATTTCTTAAGAAGCTATATCATGTCTCCAGCCCAGGGGCAGGCTTTTGGCACAGTAGGTAAGTGTCCACTTGGACTGCCTGCATCTCATATTGGAGTATCTGGTTCAAATCCTGGCTACTCTGTTTCTGACTTAGCTTCCTACTAATATACCCTGGGAGGCAGTAGGTACTTGGGTCCCTGCCACCCAGATGGAGTTCCAGGCTCCAGGCTCTAGCTATTGCAGGCATTTGGAGAATGAGTCAACAGATGGAGGATCTGTCTCTCTGCCTTTATAAATAATTTGAAAATAAATAATTTAGGCCGGCGCTGCGGCTCACTAGGCTAATCCTCCGCCTTGCGGTGCTGGCACACCGGGTTCTAGTCCCGGTCGGAGCACCGGATTCTGTCCCGGTTGCCCCTCTTCCAGGCCAGCTCTCTGCTGTGGCCAGGGAATGCAGTGGAGGATGGCCCAAATACTTGGGCCCCTGCACCCTATGGGAGACCAGGATAAGTACCTGGCTCCTGCCATCGGATCAGCGCGGTGCGCCGGCCACGCGGCGGCCATTGGAGGGTGAACCAACGGCAAAAGGAAAACCTTTCTCTCTGTCTCTCTCTCTCACTGTCCACTCTGCCCGTCAAAAAATAAATAAATAAATAAATAATTTAAAAAATTTTTAAATTTCAGTTGCAATTAGATTCTTCCTGACAAAATCTCTGGACCATAATCTTTTATCTTCTCTCTACTCCTAGGCAGAACCCAAAAGGACAGGTGAAAAAGAAAATCAGAACTAAGGTATGGGATAACCATGACAGGATTCAAGGTAGATATTAAATAAGTAAAGTATAGAGTATGTGAATTATACCTCCATAAAACTGCCAAATAAAAAAGAAGTTAAACATCAAGCGAGCATTTGGTAGAGGGACACAAGGGAAGTAAAACTTTTATAAATACCATGAGAAAAATATGGCACTTAATATTTGCTTCTGCACCTGGCCAAAGTTCATTAAGAACTTCCTCCTCATGACAAGTTCATACCCTGAAACAAGTCAGCAACATCTCATTAGAGGTTAGAATAGGTCAAAATCATTGGATTATAAAAGAGGTTCAAAAGAACTAGGAAGAATATACATTTAGATTGGATCAGAACAGAAACTAATTTCTAAGCCAGAGTTTCTCAAAGAGTATTCCATGAAACACTGGTTCTGTAAAATGTCAGTAGATGTATATAGCATGAAAAAAATTTCTATAGTTACATAAGCTTGGGAAATACTGAGTTCAACATAATTGAAAAGGTTTCTTTACAGCAGGACTTTTCAGAGCCTTTAAAATGCTGTTGAATATCATGATGGGATGGAGTATATAGTGTTTCCCAAAGGAATTTGTCTATGGAGCCCCTTTTTCCCCAAGAAGTATCCCAAAGGATCAATATTCCCAACAATATATTGTAAGAAACTCTGACCTAAACCATGCTTGGCTAATGGCTTCACCAACTCCTTTACAAGGATAAAACTGGAAATTAATATGGGAACTATAAATCATTTATAGCTTTACATAATTGTGTTTAGGTTTATTATAAAATATATAATGCTCTCACTCCATAGTTTGGGTGTAGTTAATAAATCTTAGTGAAAGCGCCCCTTTAGGTATTGTTCTAGATATATGGGGAGGACTCTAAGACAGCCAAGAATCTGGTGGCCAAAACAGGCATAATCAGTCAAGGAGTAAAACACTAAGTGAAGGAAAAAAAAAAGTAGCTGGACTTGTTTATGCTTGTGTGTGGCCTCTGTTCATATTTATACTTGCCAGGGCTAGAACAGTCATCAGAGAACACCCTCAGGGCTGTTACTCCCTTTTGATTTATGCACACCCTCATGCAGTTACTTTTATCACAGAAATGTGAAATGGACCCTCAATTATCACAACCATCTGACCCTGAATTTGACACTCTGAATAACAACAAATAAAAGTGCTTGAATTGGTTCTTAAGAATGTCAAGCCTAGGAAGAAACTCCTAGAGGCCAGTGTCCACCCCTCCCCCAAGCCAGACCCTCTAGGCCTCCTTCCTACTCGACTTCCTCCACTTCAGAGTCCCTCCCTGCAGCCCAGGAGTTCACTCAGCTGCCCTACAATGACGCCTTGGGATCATGTGCCAATTTCCAAACTCCAGAGCACAGCCAGATCCAGAGCTGCTCTCAGCTCTGCCTCCTTCCTTCCTTCCTTTCTGCTGTCCAGAAAACCAGATTCCCACCAGTCTCCTTATGAAACAATGACTTGAGATCCTGCTCAGCCGCACCTCTTATTTCCTTCAACCAGTACCTCTGGGTATCTGTACTACCAGCCTGATTTTCCTTGTCCCACCTCCTCCGGGGTTCCCTGCACCTGTTCTCCCAAGATCTGCTGGAAGACACAAAGCAGCTAAGCCCGAGAAGCTGTTTCCCATGTTCCTTTTCCAGATACAAGTCTCTGCCTGCCCTTTCAGAGAGGGAAGAGGGTCCCTGAGGCTAATCAGGTTTAAGTGAAGAAGGCTGTTTTTCATTTTTGTTCACTCTGGACTACAGGCAGTCTAGGACAGCAGATAGCTGAAGCCTGGGAATGACTCAGCCTGAACCCCAGCTACCGTGAAGCACCTGCAGAGGCCATACTTGGGGCCTCTGAGAAGCCAAGCCATTTCTGAGTGATTTTCACCCTAGAGGCCTGCTCCTTTGGAACACCTTGTCTGGAAGGAAGCAGTGCCCAGACTTCTACCTCAGTGCAGCTTTTCAGGTTGGTGTCAGAAAAGGGAGGTGCATGTCCTTTTCTATTCTAACTCTTGGCAGATGATGCAGTAACATACACATCCATTCCAGAAGAAATCAGTGAGAGGACTTAGCCCAGTCAGTTAATCAGAAATAAAACCATAGTTTGACCAGAATGATGGTAAAAGACCAGGTCACAAACCACAACATAAAACACTCAGACAACAAAGGATTTTATTTTTCCTTCATCCAAGTGCTGCAGGAAACAACAATAAAAACCCACTATGGTTCCTTGCTGCCACAAATTCTTTACATTCATCAAAGCAGGTAGCAGGTAGAATGTATTCACTGGCAAGTGGCACATTTCTCAGCAGCCCTTTTGAGGCTGTAGGGATAATGCCATTCTGACTTTTGGTTTCTAGGACTCCTGGGTTCCCCAACACCCCAAGAATGTAGCTTCAGCAATAGAGCAAAGAAAAACAGTCTTCTCTGTTATAAGCAGTCTTTGAGGTTAAGAGATACGTGGATTTCTAAAGTCTTATGATGTTCTCTTCTTCCATCCAGGTATCTGCATCAGCAACCATCCTTCACTCCCCATTTCTTGCTCAAACAGGTGTTGTACCACATCCTGCCATATTATTAGGATCCATATCTGGCTGTTCCTCTCTGTCTACTTCTGCTTTAGTGTAGGTCTTCATTATCTCTTGACTGGAATGCTGTACCCACTTCTGTATTAATTTTCCAATCTCTAATCTTACCTTCTCCAATCCCACATTCACCACTGAAGTGACAACCAAATTCAAACTTGAACATGCTATTTCCTTAATTACAACCTTTCACCCATCCCAACCATATCCTTTTGTTTCTTCCTCCATGTCCTTTGCCTGGAATTATCTCCCTTGCCTCGTCTTGACAGTCTAAGTTTCCAGTCTTCTTGCAAGAGCCAGTTCAGCAATGTCTCTTCTGTGAAGCCTCCCCTGACCACTTGATCAGACACCTTCTTGTTTCCTTCTGGCCACACTAGACCTGGTTCATACTTCTTTTACCCTGTAGTGCCACAGTCCCTTCTAGATTTGCATAGTCCTGGAGTAAGGTTCTGTGTTACTGAGAGCAGCACAGCATCTATCACCGAGTAGTTTCTTATGTGGTGTTTGCTGGATGAGGGGGGGTGAGTAGCAAAGGGCTGAAGGCCTGGGCAAACCTGCTCCTCAGTTTGCAATATAGGAAGAGAGAATGGTATCCTCTCCCCAGAAGCCTGAGAAACACTACGGGGTCACAAGCCACATGGACTCACTGGGAGAATCTACACTAAACTGAAAAAATCATTTGACTACAAGGAGCAACTTAAGGGGCTCACTCAGCGCACAGAACACACATAGGTCAATGTCTACAGTGGCTATTTGGCATCATTACCATTGTTCTCCACCACTTTCAGAAGCCACTGTGGCCTACTCAGTGATCATCCCCTTCTTTCAGTGTCAGAAGACGGGAGTCTGAAACTCCTTTCCAAGTTCATGTAGTCAAAGGAGCAGAACCTTGGCACTCTCACCTTCTCCCAAGGGAGGGGTCACTCTTTCTCAGGAATACACTCCACTGATATCTACATTTTTCTGACAAATCTAAAAACCACCCAGTAGTTGTTTGAGCCTATCCTTCTCCTGGCTACCTACTGGGGAGATCTCTTTTGTCTCTGTATCCTTAACAGTACCTGGAAGTGAGTAGACACATAGCAAATGATCATAAACTAAATAAACAAATGAGTTAACAGATAATCTGTGTTCAGTAAGGCCAGACCAGCATTTCTCTCAAGTGTGCTGAGACCCCATCTGTTGCCATATGCCATTTTTAAAGTCTTTTTGGCTTCTAAGAGTTCAGGAGGCAGGGTGTTTCCTGACACAATTAAGTGCTTAAAAGCTCCATTTGTTTTTCTTGCAACAAATCGTGCTCTCCAATTGCAGCTGAGGAGAAGACAGACTGTGTGTCTGCACCAGCCAGCCAAGCAGACAGACAAGAAGAGCAGAGAACCTGTCCCTGTTATGCATACAAACAATGGCCCAAACTCAACCCAACTAACTGCTCACTGGAGAGCCTTGGGCAGCTGGGAGCTTCCTTGCATCAGTGAAAGGTAAGGATCACACACAGATTTGACATACAAAGTACACCCTTCCCTGGCAGTTTCTTTGGGAGAATCTATGCTCAGAAACATTCAGGATTGGAGCCCCAGGAATAGGTCTTGAAAAGCAGCTCTCTTTCCTTTGATAAGGAGACAGGAAGAGACCCTGGGGAGTTCTCAGGGCTGGGCTCAGGTCTGGTTCAGCTGCTGAGATGCAGCCAGGCCAATTAAATAATTGGTGTGCTGGGGAAAGGAGGGAAGCTACTCTCAGGCAAACTCCCACTCCAGACAGGAGGCTCCATGCAGCTGTGGCAACAGCAGCAGCAACAACAAGGCAGGAATCTTCCTCTTCTTCCCACTAGCTGAGAAGCATTGCTTAAATTAGCACCTTGGAAACACCCATTTCTGCTGGCTGCTCCTTCTCTCTCAGCTCCTGCCACTCCCCCAGGCTTCTTTTTTAAGCTCAAGTTTTCCTTCAAGTAAATGATAATAATAATAATAAAAAGATACTCTCCTCTTGGAGCTCATCTTTCCAAGTACAGACTAGGCTCTGGGTTCTTCTCATTGATGATGAGGCCCAAGTGACAGGCCTCTGTTTGTACAACCTAGTCCTGAAAGGAGCAATAATGCTGATAGCCAGCCACATTTGCATTTCCATAGAGCTCTTACTCCACTCTCAGGGAGTGAGCAAGAGAAATAAACTTTAACTGAACTCTGAGCTCTAGGAGGGCAGGGCCACATCTGTGTCTTTGTTGCTAACCACTGTGTTCCTAATAACTAGTGTAGAGTCTGGGACAGAATAGATGCTCAATAATTATTGGGTAAATCAATTCACTGAACCAACAGTGTCAGGTCTCTGTTGATATTCTTTGGAAGGGAAAGTGGGGAGTTATTGCTTAAACCTTTAATACATAGTTTGTCTTCATTTTATAAATGGGAAAATAACCCAGGGAAGAAGAGAGATGTCCTAGAGATCTCAATAAATAATGACAAAAAATAGGTCACAAGTGAGTTTGAGCCTGAGACCCTAGTTTTTATTGTTTACCCAAATAGCCCTAAAGAGCCATCTTGCTCTTTCTTCTACCCTTTACCTCAATGGTATGCCTTCTTCATCCCTTACACCCCCAAATGAAGGCTCTACTAGTCCTAACAATATGCAAGGCATTAAAGAGTTTTGGGATGTCTCTAGACTACAACTCAGGGACAGAGGTCAAGAAGCAGGATAATATCCATGTCCATCAAATGGGGGATGACTATATTGTGATTTCCCTAAAACTTTCCCTCAACCTCAACAAAGTATTCTCTTGCAGAAAGGGCTCCTTTAGCCCTTGGGAAAAGGGTCTATGGCAGCCACAGCTATTCTGATAAGTGCCTCCTTGCCACAAGCACTTCTATTTCAGGGCTACACAGACTAGAAGCAGCTCAGAAGTCCTCTACCCAGCCAAATCATTATTAGAAACTTCAGGCAATGACAGAGGCACCAAGGACACATGAGAGATCCTGGTGACCCTATCCCTGCTTCCCCTTCCTCGGTCAGTTATTGCCTCCCTTTTTGGGAATCCCAGATGGGAGACAAAAATCAACTCATTGCTTTCTTCTCCTGACTCACTTGAACTTCCTTCATTCACCCTCCCTTTGGGGTCTTGATGAAATGCTTAGAACTGAAAGGGCAATCTAGTTTGCAAGCCAGGTTGGCTGGATAGAGAAACCAGAAAGGATATTCTTCAAGTTCATGGGACAGACTTCTCTCTAGGATTTTCTGGCTCCCAAGTACTCCAACAACAGCATCATGCTAGGAAGAGATCATACCGTAGCTCTCTCTCCTTATTTTAATAATGTACACTCCCATAAAATGTCTGTGTTTTAGCTTCTATAGCTAAGTAGTCACAAAGGCAGAGAAAACCACTTACCTCTAGCTAGGTGATCACTAATGATTCTCCCCACCATCCCCAAATCATGATATAGAGACGGTCATAGGTCTCTGACAAGACCCATGTTGGCTATTGTAATGCACAGGTTATTTGCCCAGGAAGTCACAAAGCACATATGTTAGGCAGAGGGCTACAGGCCAAGGTAGAAGCTGTTCCTGACAATCTGGCCTAACAGGTAGGGAGGAGACTGAGGGAGCTCCAGAGCTTCAGTACTTGGAATGCTCCATTCAGCTCTAGCAGAGCTCAGAGAAAAGCGCATCCACACCTTCAGGTTCCTGGCCTGCCCTGCCTCCTTCCAGCTCTGGCTTGGGTTCCAAAGGGGGAAAATCTAACAGCCTGGGGCTCCTTTCTTTCTCCTATCTCTATATCACATGGCTAGGCCTCCACATCTCCCACCCTATCGCAGCAGGGCAAACAAGCCAGTCAAGTAGTCCCGGGCAGCGGGGCCTGCAGGTATGGGCTCCCTTAGGCCAGGGCTCCGTGCACCGGCATCGCCCTCCCCCTTCCATCCCCTCCGCGCCGGCAGCGATGACATCATTCCTCCTGCCTCCGGGACCGCGGACAGGAGGCAGGATCCGCGCCCAGCAGACTCCGGCAAGCACGTAGGCCTAGGATGATTGGGGCTCTTCCGAATCGGTGGGCACAGGCGGCTTCAGCGCGGCCCCACCTCCTCTCCCGTGGGTTCTAGAGCACTCTCATCTGTGCCCCTGACTCTCCATCTCGCCGCCGCTCACTCTCCTTCCCGGTCCCGAAACCCCCAATCATGGGCTGCCTGGGCTCCTCTTTGGAGAACAGAATTCCCAGGTCCTGCACTGACCCCCTGCACCTACCGGTCCCTGGCCTCGGCTCCGCGTTCCTATCCTTACGCAGCGGACCGGCATGCAGGCCCTTCTCTAAAAGCCTATTCCGGTCCCTCTTAGCCTGACGGCTCCACGGGCCTCCTCCTCCGCCCTGAGCATCCAGGCCTCTAGGGCTAAAGGCCTTCGCACTTCATCCCAATCCCTGGGCTTGCGGCCGGCAGTGCTTCCTGACAGTACCCTTGCCATGCCCGCCATGGGCCTCCGCTAGCGGCTGGCACCATTGTGCCCCCTCCGATTCATCCGACGGCGTTCTGCCTCCGCCACGGCTCCCTCCACCCTTATGGGTCCCTTTGCTCCCGCTCGGCTTATTCTCCCACGGTTTTCTTGTCCTGCAAGTTCCCCTCCCCTTGGCAGGGCGTTTTCAGGGTTCTCTACCCCATCCGTTGACGCCCCCTCCGCACAATCCCCGCGGCCTGATTTCCTCCTTCCCCCCTCAGGCGGCGCCCCCTCCCGGCCCTGGCCTGCCCGCCGCCCGCCCCCTCACCAGCGGCTGCATCTCCGAGTGCGCGGTGGGCACCTGGAACCGGTCGATCTCCTCCATCATGGTGCCGGCGGGAGAGCGGGCCGGGGGCCGGGCGCGGCAGGGGACGCCGACGGGACCGCACGGGGCGGCGGCCCCAGGAGCCCGGCGGGTAGTGCAGATTAGGCCGCCCCGGAGGAGTCGGGAGGGCAGGCGACCAGGCAGATGGAGAGGGGGCGGGGAGGGCGAGAGGTTGCGAGGCCGGCGTGACTAGGTAGGCTTGCCTAGTTCTATCGCGGCTGAGGCCAGGCCGAGCCGCAGGTCTTGCCTCGCCTCCTCCTCCGCCGCCGCCTCCTGTCAGCAACTCAGCCACTGCGGTGACTCGGCAACTCCACTTCCGGGTCCGGGACACCGCCCGGATGCTGCATTATTCATGAGGAGGAGGTGTCTGAGCGCTCCAGTCCCTCCCACATGAAGTTCTGAACGCGTGCAGCCGTCCGGCATATTATTCATGAGGGGCGGGGCTTAGCGGAGCAGGCGTGTCCTCGCGCGCCCGGCTCCGCCTCCTCCCCGTGCCGAGAGGGGGCGCCAGTAGCGCCTGCGCCTTGGCCGCCCGTCGGTTGCTGGGTAACCGCGTCAGGGAGGAGCCGATTCTGTCCTACAAGGGCGCCAGGACCCAAACGACGACGGCTGTCCCCAAAGAACCCCTGCGACTGGGAATTGAAGTGCAAGAGAGTCCGGATTTCCTGTGTGTGGTCGAGGAGACGGATAAACTTCTTGTCCTCAGGAGAGGGAGCGTTTCGTAGGCTCCCCAGGGGTTGAGGTGCTTCCAGCTTCTGCCAAGATGCCCCAGAAACAGCCTCGTAGGCAGGTAACCCACACCCTGACTTGCCCGCTCTGGATGACCCGTGACCTTTGCCGCCAGTGACCACTGGCCTTCCCTTTTCTACTCATCCCCCATCTTCTTTGCCCTGTTGACTCCTAACTTTCTTTCCTCTGTGACCCCTCCACCCCCCACCCCCAACACACACTGCCCGCGTTCTCACTGACCACTGACTCTGTCTTGCCCTCTCCCACAAGTCCTGGCCTCCTCTCTCATATTGCCTCAGTCCTTTGTTTCTCACTCCCTCTCACTTGTCTTTCCCATCTCCTCCACAAACCTGTCCTGACCATCCTCCTTAGCCCTCAACCCGAGTCCCACCAGCCTATTCCTCCTTGCCCTCACATTGTTTCAGGGGAGTTATTTGTCCAGCCCTTTGCTGTGTGCCCAGCGCTGGGCTAGGTGGGCCCCGCGGTTTGGGCCTTGCCGTTTGGGAATCCACAAAGGGAATCAAGGGAACTGTACATGAGACACGGAACAGATTCTGCGCTGGAGTTGTGTTTGGCTTTTCTGTGCTGGGAGAGCTGTGAGGAGAGATGTCAGGCAGAGGAGAGGAGAGAGACCCTTTTTGGAGGCCCTGGCCCCTTCTTCACACACAGCACAATGCAAACACAGGCCCCCAGCTGTTGCAAGAGCCTCATGTGTCCCTTGCCTGAGAGTCCCTGGTCCACTCTGGGGACTCAGTCAGCCCTGCTAACAGGAAGTCCAGGAGTCTCAGAGCTGAGGTCTGCCTTCTTCCCCAGCATCACTGTGGGAGGGCAGGTAGTCCCAGCTTCTTGAGAAACCCTATGGTGAACCATTTGGTCTTCAGGAACCAGTTTTCCCAAGCCATTTATGAATGACTAGCCTGGGGCTAATGTGCAACTTCTATCTCTGTAAAGCAGGACTTCTATTCACCTATTTTAAATTTACCTCACTTGGGCCTAGGCGTAGTGAGGTTTGGAGAGCAAATCTTTGCTCGTCCTATGTATGACTTGACTTGTGTGGGGTCTTCAGAAAGTTCATGGAAAATGTGTATTACCAAAAAATAAAAACCATATGGATTTCAAAATTTCTAAAAAAGAATTATTTATTTTTATTTGAGAGGCAGAGTTACACAGAGATAGAGAGAGAGGGAGAGAGACACAGAGAGAAAGATCTTCTATCTGCTGGTCCACTCCCCAAATGGCTGTAATGGCCGTAGCTGAGCCCATCTGGAGCCAGGAGCCAGGAGCTTCCTCTGGGTCCCCCATACAGGTGCAGGGACCCAAGGACTTGGGCCATCTTCTACTGCTTTCCCAGGCTATCAGCAGGGAACTGGATTGGAAGTGGAGCAGCCAGGTTTCGAATCAGTGCCCATATGGGATGCTGGCAATGCAGACGGCCACTTAACCCACTATACCACAGTGCTGGCCCCAATTTCAAAATTTTATTCCAAAATAAACTTACCTTTTAATTCCACTTTCCATGAACTTTTCTGAAGTATGCTTGTGTTTTGGTCTGGCCTCCTTCATATTAGCCTTGGCTCCTCTCCTTCTTGCACTTGGCCTTGTGTAGCAGACAGACCTGATTCTTGGATATCTGCAGCTATTGGGAGGCAACTATTCTTGTATGGCTATGTCCTACTTTCATGTTGGGGTTGAGCTGTGTTTTAAAGCTCATGTACTGTGTTTGTGCCTTCTAACCCTTAACTTACAAGCAGTTTTTAAAATTATTTTAAATTATTTATTTATTTAAGAGGAAGAAAGAGAGAAATGTCATCTACTGGTTCACCCCTTAAATGCCTGCAACAGCTGAGACTGAGCCAGACTGAAGGTGGTAGCCAGTAATTCAACCAGGTCTCCCATCAGAGTGACAGGGACCCAACCACTTGAGCCATCATCTTCTGCCTCCCAGGGTGCATACGTATTAGCAAGAAGCTGGAGTCAGGAGCTGGAGCTAGGTACTTAATCTAGGTACTCTGATATAGAATGCAAGGGTTTTTTTTAATACAGCTAATATTTTCTTTTTAAAAATGTATTTTTAATTTATTTTCATCTACTTGAAAGGCAGAGAGATAGAGATAGAGAGATCTTCTATCCACTTGTTCACTCTCCAGATAGCCACAACAGCCAGGACTGGGCCAGGCTTTGGCCAGGAATCAGGAGCTCCATATAGGTCTCCCATGTGGATGGCAGGGGCCCAAGTACTTGAGCCATCATCACACCCTCCTGGGATGCATTAGCAGGAAACTGGATGGAAGCAGAGGAGCCTAGACTTGACTGTCTTTCCAATATGAGTTGTGGTTTTCTCAAGCTGTGGCACCACAGTGCCCACCCCAAGATGCAAGGTCTTAACTGGCATCCTAAATGCTAAGCTAAATACTCACCCTGGCAGTTTGTTTTTAAACCAACTATATTCAGATTTGGTTTACATACAACAAAATGGACCATTATAGTTGTATGGGTTGAGAGGTTTTGACAAATTTATACACTTACAAACCACCACCACAATCAAGATACAGGATATTGCCGGCGCCGCGGCTCACCAGGCTAATACTCCGCCTTGCAGCGCCGGCACACCAGGTTCTAGTCCCGGTCGGGGCGCCGGATTCTGTCCCAGTTGCCCCTCTTCCAGGCCAGCTCTCTGCTGTGGCCCGGGAGTGCAGTGGAGGATGGCCCAAGTGCTTGGGCCCTGCACCCCATGGGAGACCAGGATAAGTACCTGGCTCCTGCCATCGGATCAACGCGGTGCGCCGGCCGCAGCGTGCTGGCCGTGGCGGCCATTGGAGGGTGAACCAATGGCAAAAGGAAGACCTTTCTCTCTCTCTCTCTCTCTCTCACTGTCCACTCTGCCTGTCAAAAAAAAAAAAAAAAGATACAGGATATTTCCTCTAGCCAGAAAAGTTCCCTATGCCTCATGCTGGCCACTTCTTATCTCCTACCTCACAACTGCAAGAACCACTGATCTGCTTCTGTCACTAGGTTATGTTTTCCTTTTCCATCAGCTTGCAGTTTGAACAAGCTTGTGGATGAGTTTCCTCAGACTATTAGGGGAAGACATTATAGACAGGTGACAGCAGGCAGGAAGCAGAGAAAGTAGGGGTCAGCTGCACATATCAGCACCATCTCTGGAGGAAAGAGTTGTTTTAGTACAAAATGTTTACCAAAATAAATGTTGGTGTGTGGGGGTGTGAGAAAAGGCTGGGTTGTGCTAGGTTGCTGTTTTCATCACCCTGTTGTCTCAGGGAAGTTCAATTTGGGTCATTGCTAATACCTAGAGATGTTTGAGAAGTTGTCCCTGTCCTCTTGGGATTCTGTTCGAAAAGGGAGACAGAACACTAGCCAACAAAGTAGAGGGAGGGTGGGATCCTAGGGCTGAAAGAGAGAGAGGCACGCAGGTTGGAGCAGCAGAAGGGCTTTGTGGAGGAGGCAGGTGGGAGTTGGAGTTGGATGCCTCCTGTGATGAGGGAGGATCAGGATTGGGTTTCTTAGGGGATGGAAAGGAGTTTAAACACCATTTCTTCCTGTAATCATTGATCAGGCATTGTGGTAACTCCCTGTTGTTCTCAGGATAAAAGTCCCCAAAATCCAATTTGGTTGGAATGGCCTACACAGTCTGGCCTTTGTCTCCTTTCTACTTGAACCCAGGCACTCTGATATGGGATTTGTGCTCCTGTTAAATTCCACAACTCCAGCCCAATGGACTGCCTTAACTTTCCGGAAAGTGGTATCTACACTCTCCTTCTCCCCCAGGTCTTTGAAACTGCCTGGTACAATCTTTTCTGTCTGCTGCCACCTGCTCTATTCCCCTCTGCTTCAAATCTCTCCTTCATCTCCTGCTTATACTTCAGGTCTCAGCTTGGCTTTCATATTCTCCTCCAAGGGATTAAGGCCCTCTTCTGGAGGCAGGAAAGGATGCTATCCTCATGAGACTATAAACTCAGTTATGGCAAGGATCATGTCTGCTTGTTCATTGTTGATTCTCTCATACCTAGCACAATGCCTGGAATATATTAAATTCTGAGAAAATGAGTTGAATCTGAATTCTGAATGCCTTGAGCTATTCTTTGGAAATTTTCATTTGACTGAGTTCAAAGGATAGGAAGCAGTAAGCCAGGGGTGGGGAACATAGTGGAGAGTGATGATGAGGAAATGTCACAGAGAAATATGTTTTTCCTAGTCTGTGTTTATATCATAGCCAGTAGGGCCATGAATGATTCAAATTAACCACATATGTCCATGCCTTAAGAGCTAAGTGTTGGAGACTATGAGACAAAAAAATACTGATGATGTAAATATTTATTCTAATTCAATAATTGTTTTAGAAAATATTTCTTTGAGCAGCAGAGAGATGGAGACAGACAAAGAACTCCCATTTGCTGGTTCATTCCTCAAATGTTGGTGATGGCTGGGGCTGGGCAGGCTGGAGCCAGGAGCTGGGAACTCAATCCAGGTCTCCCATGTAGATGGTTGGGACCTAACCACTTGAGCCATTACCTGCTTCCTGTCAGGGTCCGCATTAGTGGGAAGCTGGAATTGGTAGTGAAGCTGGGTCTCAGACACAGTGCTTCAATATATGGGACACGGACATCTTAACCTGTCAAATGCCTGCTCCTTACTCAATAATTATTTGTTGAGTACCTACTCTGTGCCAAGCACTGTTCTAGATATCTGTGGTATAAAATAAAAATGATTACTTTCATGGAGCTTTGCTTTTACTTGGAGGTAAACTATCAACAAACAAGACAAAGTATATCAGATAGTGATAGATGCCAAGGAGAAAAATAAATTAGGGAAGTGGACTAGGAACAGGAAAACAGAAGATTGTGACTTACATGGGGGTCAGGGAAAGCATCACAGAGACGACATTTGAGCAGAGATCTGAAAGAAATGAGAGAGTTAGTGTCCAGCGTTGTGGCACAGCAGGTTAAACCACCACTTGCAATGCCAGCATCCCAGATGAGTACCTGTTTGAATCCCTGCTGCTCCAGTTTTGATCCAGCTCCACGCTAATGCACCTGGGAAGGCAGT